ACCTTTATAGCTGAGACACCTTCCTCCCAATCAAGTGTCTCCAGCCATGAATCAGCGTTTAAAAAATGCACTGAGAAGCTGGCAGCCACACTTAGTCAGAGAAGACTGCTTTAGGACTGTTGGACTTATAAGTTTGCAGTTGCTGTAAGCTACATGCCATTTAAAACAATGCAGATTTTTGTGACATGCCAAACAGGGCAATGAAATGTTAATGTAACTGGATAAAGTCAAACCCTATGCTTACGAATGAACATGATTTGCTTCCACGTAAGCCATAAGTTAGCTCTAAAATCCTGCCTGAAACAGTGGTTCTGAAACTGTAAAGTACAACCCATACTCCATAGAGTCTTTTTTTTTTTTTTTTTTTTTTAAAAGAGTCTCGCTCTGTTACCCAGGCTGGACAGTGGACAGTGCAGTGGCGCAATTTTGGCTCACCGTGACCTCCACCTGCCAGGTTAAAGTGATTCTCCTGCCTCAGCCTCCCGAGTAGCCGGACTACAGGTGCTTGCTACCAGGCCCGGCTAATTTTTTGCATTTTTAGTAGAGACAGGGTTTCACTGTGTTAGCCAGGATGGTCTCGATCTCCTGACCTTGTGATCCACTCGCCTTCGCCTCCGCTAGTGCTGGGATTACAGGTGTGAGATCCCTGGGTGTCACCCAGAGTTTGATTCTGTCAGTCTGGAGTGAGGCCCACGAAGGTGTATATTTACACAGCGTCTCAGATGTTTTCTGAGGCAGCCGGTCCTTAGGCCTCACTTTGTGAAGCTCTGTCCTAGCCTGTCAGAGTTGGGGTAGGCAGCAGAGTCCTCTGCTCCTTTAGTGGGTCCCAAATGTCATTGATCTTCACAGTCATCTAGGAAGCATTTAAAAAATAAAGGCTGTTCTCCAGTAACACCTGCACAGATTCTGCTTACAAAGGCCTAGGGGGAGACCAGGGAATTTTCATTTGTAAAAGCTCCTCTGGTGAGGACAGGGCGGGTTTGGGAACCACTGCTCAGGGCTCTTTCCTCCTATTTATGAGGAAAGGGAATCTCAGAATGGTATTAAGATAGGCATTCACTTCGCTTTAGTTCACTTCTTCAGGGTGGAAGAGGTACCAGATGTGAGCAATTTCTGCTATTGTTATTAACCCACTTGAAATATTTTTCTGGTAACTTTGGCCTTGCGATCAACAAGCATGCAGAAGAAAGTGGGCAGGCTGTTACCCCAAATCTCTTACCCCAAGTGGCCCAAACAGGAGAGGACCCTGAAGCTGCTCTGGTGCTGGAGGTGGCTATGAAACTTGCCAAATACTATACTCTTTTTTGGCATAAAGCTTTGTCTGGAAGCTCCAGCCTCTGCTTGTTGCATAGAAAATGCCCTGTAGCCTTCAGTGTGTGCCTGGGCCGGGGTCTTGCCAATACTGTGACGACTTATCAGAGGCAAGCTAGGGTTCTGCTGCTGGAGTCAAGGCCAACTCCATGGAAACAGTGAAGTCTTTTCAAGGTTGCTTTAGTCAGCCACAAAGTAAAGGTTTCAGTGCCCTGAAGTGATCAGTGCTTCATGTTTAGCACATGGACTTTCTCAGGCACTGAGCATCTGGTGGGTATTTCCCAGCGTCCAGGCTCTGGAGGTGACGTCCAAACAAGGGAGACCAAAAGCTGCCTTCTTGCAGCTTAGATTCTAGTCTGGTGGAATAGATCAAAGTAGACTTGCTCTGGCTGCTGTGAAGAAGGCCCACCAGACCCCTTTTCTTTTGAAAGTGCTGGTGTAGTATTGCATTGTTGTGGCAGATGTGATGCTGGTGGCCAAGGGGACAGCAGTGATCATGTCAGACTTACACTCTGGTCTCTGCGAGTGTACATTCTGGTGGCGGAGGTAGATGATACTTAGGTAAACATATCAATAAACTAGATAAATACAGATAATGACAACTGCTAGGCTAATGTAGAAACAGTGTAATGGTTTAGAAATGCTTACGGCCTCATAGGTCAACATCAGGGAACTGAATCAAAAAATGTTTCCAGCTGATGGTGAATATTTTGCAATAGACCCAAAAGGGAGCTTACAGGTCATCTGCTCCCAACCTGGTCCACATATTAATCTATCTAGAGAGTTTTTAAAAGATATACAAGCCTAGTCTTAAAAATTCCTGACTTTATTGGTCCAAGGTGTAGGACTCAAGTATTGCTACATCTTTGAAGATGCTCAGATAATTCTGGTTGAGAAACCTCTGAAGTCCAGCACCCTCACTTTATACGTGAGTCACCCTGTCTGCAGTGTAGCCAAACAATGTTGAGAAGTGGAAACCCCCTTACACAGGGTGGGAGGAAGGTGAAGACATGGGTTCTTGTCCCAGATCTGTGGTGCAATAATTGTCAGGTTAACCCTCACTTGTTCACTTTCCCCATTTTTAAAGCCAAAGGGTTGGACTTGATAGCCACCAAGATCTTGTCCAGCTCTGCCGTTCTGTGAAAGTGTGTCTGTTAAGACAGAAACATGCTCTAGTTTCTTGTCTGAGACTTGGGAGAAGCAAACAAATGCCTCCTACTTTCCTTATTCCCTGTCTCTACCCTTAATTACTATAGGTGCTTCGATCAGCTAATCAGTTCATTTTGGAAGTGAAAATGTAAGGTAGAAAGAGGTAATTACTTTCTGCTGACTGTCTAAATAAATTTCAGAAGAAGCAAATTTTCATTAATATTAATAATAAATATGCCCAGACTTAGTTCTAGTAAATTACAGTCATACCTTATTTATTAAATTCTAGCCCAAAGCTTTTTCCGTGTTTGATGGTTGATTTAAAACCAAGGGGCGAGGGCAGTTGTTTAAAAATGGAAACCCTGGAATAGCTGTAACCATTGCATACCACAGTAATTTTATTCTTTACGAAATATTCCAGGCCAGGAACCCAAAGAAATTGAGTCTCTCCCAAATGTATGGTCTGCAGTTTATTAGCAAGCAGAAACAGTGTATATCTTGTGATGCCATCTTAATTTATTAAAGAAAATCAGAACTAAACTCCAACATGAAATATATCATTTAATTTCCTCATTTGAGACCTGGCATCTCTAAGAACTTGATTTTCATTGAAACATTTATTCAAAAAGACAGCAGTTCATTATAAACCAGCACGGTGAGCACCTTAAGTTTATTTCCTTGTGTGGAATTTCCCAGTGGCGTTTGATAATATTCAGCAGTTTCAGAAGCGATAAAGGAATTCGAAAACAAAATCTGATGGGAGCTGGTAAATGAAATTAGAGCCATATCTTTTTCAGTAGAGATTTTTAAAGATTTGCATATTGCCCATTTTGTGTCTGTATTTAAGGAACAGTGCATAAATTGTATTCACAGCCACATGTTTGCTTTAGACACAAGATTATGAAAAATCGTCTTCCTCTAACTTAAGTTGCATCCGTGATAGCAAGCAACTTTTGAAAATATTGTCGAACAAAACAATTGGTTTAATAGAAATCCATCTCAAAAGCAATGTTTCTACCACAAGCAAAATCTTGTAAAACAGAAGCGTTTTGTTTCCACCATTGCAGGGAAACAAAGTTGTTTAAGATGAGTTAAGATGTCTCAGAGTTTTGGCAGTCTTTCTAAGCCCCCTGCTGCTGTTGCGTTCAGAATCCCTTTTGAAGTGGCTTGGAAGTTGCTATGCAATTTCAGTGGCTGCTTAGGGGAAATATTGGCTAAACTATTCATTTTGACTGTTAAGATGGATTGAGCGTTTTCAGAATGTTTTCATTTGCTAGAAATGTGTTTTGCACTTGGGCTCCTCTTGTTGAAGTAGGAAGGTTGGTTACCAGCCATCTGATGATGCCTCAGGGTGTTTACAGAAAATGTGGGTGCTGTAGTTATATTTGAGCACAGCCCTCCCCCAACAAAGATAGTGTGGTAATCAGCAGGAATGTGAAAACATGTATTTAAGGATTGATGCTTGTAAAAGAGGTGCTGTAAAGAAACATGGTTGTTCAGATGTAAGAAATGACTGACAGCTCTCCTTGTAGGCATGCTAGTAACAATAAAGTCTAGAAGTTCAACATCAAAGCGATCACAGCTTACTCCACCAGTGACTTGCACATCAAAGAGGGAGCACAAGACAAAGGAAGTGCACCGAGGTATGTTTCTGCCTCATAGCCAGATCCTCAGGGGGAGCTCCCAGAGCTCCTTTCATGAATGTATAGTGATTTTTGCAGATCAGCGTCTTCATTTCATAAATGACCGGGAGTATAAAAGCAGGGCAAATGAACGCCTTAATTGCCCCCATCACTTTAAGTTTGGGTAGGAACGATTCAGCACAGGAGCGATTGGTCTGTGGTTTCCTTGAGTAGTGAATCCTATCCCTGTGTGGGCAACTCTAACTTCACCTAATATAGTACAGGGAATTATTCACAAAATAAGAGAGAACACAGTAGACACATTTCAAGTTGGTCATTTGGACTTATGCTTGAGAACATAAAGCTGGACTAAGTTAGTGCAGTATGCCTCTTTTTTCTTTCCTCTTGATTGCCTAATTTTTTGAGATTAACCTTGTGGGTGGATTTCTGCTGAATCAGGTGTGCATTACTTAACAGGTGTGTGTGATAATGAAATTTAGACCTGTTAAACAAGCCCTAAATTAATCATCAGACCTGTGCCTCAGTTCTCCAACTCAAATCACGCATACTCCAAAATGGCAAAAGCAGAACAGGAAGAAGAGCCTGGGTTTGACTTTTTTTCCCTCTCTTGATAGTAAATTGAAAATGAAATTAACCATGCAAGTATTATGAGAGGTTTGAAATAATGCCCCCCCCTTTTTTTATGGCTTGCCTTTGAAATTTAAAGTTTTTTCATAGTTCATCTTTAGTAATTTACTCATTTTTTAAATGCTATTGAAAAATAGTAGTGCTCTGTGTAGTCATTAACAAATACAAAGCAGGTTTCTCAAGGCTCTAGGGAGACCTAATAACACAACTGTGTTGCTAATTGATGCTATACTGAGCTAACAAAAGTAGTGCTTTGGTAAACAGAAGTTAGAAAACAAGAAGTTAAAGAACTATAGGGGATTATGTAGACATCAAGGGTTGGAAATTATAATAAGGCCTCTTTAGGGGAGCATTAATTTGCATGTGGCTGAATTAGGACAACCAATTATTTTTGAGGACACTACTAAGAGCTCATCCAAAATACCCCCAAAGTGAAAGGTTTGGGAGAGTTGGGAGCTCAGTGAGATGGAGGAGGGACTGAGCATGTCCTATTTCCTAGAATTCATGGTAGTTGAATAGTTTTATCAGTAGCATGTTAGAATAGCTAGCTTTCTTTGTTAGAAAATGCTGATGAAATCAAGAGTACTATAATTTCTTTGTTCTGTATACACAATTTATGTTAAACTATCACAGTGGAATTTTTTTTTAAGTAGGAAGGGCAGGAGAGTGGAGACAGAAATAAACCTTTTAAATCTTCTTTACATGAACCACGCAAGGACATAAGCATTTAGCAGATTAGAGCGTGTTTGGATTTATAGATACGATCCTCTACAGTAGTGGTCTTCAATGGGTGATCCAGGGACCCCCTGCTGCTCCCCAAGGCCCTCTCAGGGGCCCTAAGAGATAGAATTTTTAAAAAAAATATGGGCCAGGCATGGTGGCTCACGCCTGTAATCCAAGCACTTTGGGGGCCAAGGCGGGTGGATCACCTGAGGTCGGGAGTTCAAGACCAGCCTGACCAACATGGTAAAACCCGGTCTTAAAAAAAAAAAAAAAAAAAAATAGTTCCATAATACTCTAAGGCATTATTTGCCCTTTTTACTTCAGTGACCATTTGTATTAATGGTGCAGAGCATGGGTGGGTAAAACTCCTGGCACCTTAGCAGGAAGCAGGGCAGTAATGCCAACCTGTACCAGCAGTCATGGTATTCTTCATTACGGTACAGTTACTGTTTAAAAAAAAAAAAAAATTGTCAGTTTCATTTAGGAATGTCCTTGACGAAGCAGAAAAAAATTATTAACTTTATTAAATTTTGACTCTTGAGTCCACACCTTTTTAATGTTCTTTATGGCAAAATTGGAAGTACGCATAAAGCACTTTTGCTTCATACCTAAGTACCACGTTTGTCTCCAGGGAGAAGTAGCTGTGTCATTGTTTAAGAGCTGAACTAGCTGTCTTTTGAATGGAATGCCACTTAATAGAATAACAGATAATTATTCAGATTATATATTATATATTATTCAGATTATAATTATATAACTATATTCAGATTTGGGTATGTTTCATATATTGTTTTCCCAAAAGTGAATTGTGAGTCTGTTTTGTCAAGAAAAACCATTCACAGTGTTTACTGCCCATAAATTCAGGCATACATCAGAATTTTGGAAAACTTGTATCCAATCCCATGAATTTGACAGCTTCCCAATACTTAAAAACTTTCCTGATAATATGGGTAGTGATATGAATCAACATAATTCCTTGATATAACCACATCTAATAATGAAATGTGTCAACATCTGGAAGGTATACACAACTCAGTGAACCAGTAGTTTCCAAGTGACCCATGCATGATTTTATAAAAATATACATAGGTAAATGATCCACTCAAAGTGCAAAGTGTACTTATGTATTTTAATTTAACAGAGTACAAAAAGTCACTGATAAGGATTCAGGTTCCATATTTGAACTATTCTTTAAGAAACTACCACTTGTTGAGTTTTGGTGTAGTACCACAGAAGAATATCCAAAATTATCTGCAAACGCTATTATAATACTTCTCCTTTTTGTAGCTACATATATTTGTGAGGCCAGATTTTCTTCACATACATCAGCCTTGAGAACATAACACAACAGATTGAATGCAGAAGCAGCTACGAGAATCTACTTGTCTTCTTTTAATAGCCAGATATAAAAAGATTTGCAAAAGTATAAAATAATGGTATTCTTCTTGCTAACTTTTTTGTCTTATAAAATATACTTATTTTCATATGTTAATATGCAATGTGTTTATTACTATTATTTTAAGATGAATTACAAGTAAATGGTCTAAATGTTCCCAGGTTTTAACTTCTAATATGGTAGTGATTAGTATATAACCCACTAAAGCAAAAGCTGTTTTCTGGATTTTTTTGGTTTGTTTGCTTACTTGTTTGTTTGTTTTTTGGAAACAGAGTCTTGCTCTTATACCCAGTCTGGAGTGCAGTGGCATTATCTCCGCTTGTTGCAACCGCCACCTCCCAGGTTCAAGCGATTCTCCTGCCTCAGCCTCCCTAGTAGCTGGGATTACAGGCACATACCACCACACCCAGCTAATTTTTGTAATTCAAGTGGAGACAGGGTTTCATTTTGTTGACCAGGCTGATCTCCAACTGCTGACCTCAGGTGATCCGCCTGCCTAGGTCTCCCAAAGTGCTGGAATTACAGGCATGAGCCACCACACCTGTCCTCTTTGCAGTTTTTAGGAGCATAAAAGTATACAGAGACCAAAAAGTTTGAGAACTCTTGCTCTACAGTTTACTCTAGGAGACACGGTCAGAAAATTGTATGACAAAGCACAAAGACTTACTCCTTTCTGTGAACTGCCTAGCTCTTTGCTGAAGGTTGTAGCCCTAGGGAAGGCTAGCATTAGACAAGCGGAGTTATATTTTCAAAGTGCATGTTTTCAAAGCACAAGGTAACAATAGAAGGGGCTTTAAATTCAGGCAGTTTTATTAGATGAGCCATAAATTATACTAAACAAAGCGCTTTCAAACATGAATTCAAGAGCAAATTTTTTAATCCTCATTTTCTTTGTAATGTCTTCACCCTTAATCACAGTGGAAGACCAGAATCTTTGCTGATATTCTATTTTCAGAGATTTTGTTGTTTTCTTTATTAGTATAGCAAAGATCTGGGCATCAAATGTGCAGTTTACACAGGCTTACATTTTATCTTTAATCATCTGCAACCTGCGCTTGCAAAAATAATACTAGTAAATGACGGCTGTTTTTCTTTTTTTGTTTGGGCTTGGGTGGAGGAAAAAGCTTCTATACAACTAGTACCACTTCCAGAGCTTTCCCAGCTCCTGAAAGATGTGAAACTTTTGTCATGCCTGTGGGCACTTTGGAGAATTTTATTACTGTGTGTAGAGATGGAAAGCCCTTGCAGGCTCTGCCACCATGCAAGTGATGGGCACCTTAACACATACATCATTCACCCTCCCTCAGACCTTCTCCACCGGGGAAGAGTTCTGCCCAGATGGCTGTCAGCACCTGAGTGTGACAAGGAGGCTAAGCCCTCAACTAACAGATACACTTGGCAGAATCAGTTCCATTATACTAATTAAATATGTGAAAGCCCAACCTTCCCTGAAATTCCTTGTGAAAAATACCATGCAGTTTGAAAGCAGTGCCCCTAAATACTTGTCCCTAATTTTATAATCACTTTGTTGGCATCTGACATATAGACATTCGCATTGCCCTTAGTGACTGGGCCATCTGCCTCTTTGTTATTATCAAATGGGGGCACGCAGGTCTGGCATTCCATTTGGTTTCCTATCAAAAGGCTGTCAGTTGAGTGGGAGCAAATGTGTTTCGGCACATTCTGCATTTCCAGGGTCTTGCTTCTGACTCTTACCACTAAGAAAGAAGTTGGTGTCCTTAGAGCCAAATCAGTCTCAGAATATTGGGATGCCTTGCTCCCGGCGTGGTTTTATTGGCCAGTTGAAAGGATAGGCTGAAACACACTCGCTGTATAAACAGAGGTTGTGAAATGGGCCACAGCCACCCTGCCCATGAGAAGAAGCACCTCCTCTCTTCTGTGGATCTGCCCAAAATAAGAAGGGCTGAGGAGAATAAGATGGCCCAGTTTCAGAACAACTCACAATGGTGATGTGGGGGAAGGATGAGAGTGAAAGGGAAGGACAGTAAAGCCAGCCCTCCTCTGTTCTTGGAGAGGGTGTTAGGAAGGTGAGGAAACCCTGGCCGTTAAGGGTGAGAGAAATAACTGCATGCCCACTCATGGTTAAAAAGAAAACGAAACTTCTGACTTTCCAGTTTGGGAAATAAAAGTGCAACGTAATTGTTCTTGTTGAAGTAAAATGGCTCATGTTTAGGCATTGTATTTTATTAAATTGTTAGCATTTTCTGGCTAACAAAACTTGAAACAATAGATTTTATATGCTAAGTTTTGCATTATTCAGTGGTTTTGAACCAGGCGTGGAAAGCTATTAAAAAAAAAAAAAAAACCAAAGGGACATTTTTTTCTTGATCTGAGAGTATGGACTGTGAAAATTCATCAGGCTTAGATTTATTATTTGTGTCTGTTTCTATTTGCATATTGCACTTCAGTAAAAAGCTTACCAAAGGGCAGAGGATTCTAGTAAATTTTTTTTGTAAATAGTATGCTCTCAGTACTGAAAATATTCTCTAGACCCGACTTTGGAGTTTTTCCACTCTGTCATTTACCAAACATTTTGTTTATTCTCAGTTCCTTTGTACCACCACTTCACAAAAGTAAATTTAATCTACGACCTTACAGCAGGAAGACTAAAGGCATTTATACTTCAAGTACGTGTACAAAGGCATAACTCTGTATCATGAAGGCCCAGTATCAACCTTTACAGGATTCGTTTCTTGCTTTATAATCATTGGCTTTGGAATGACCTGCTGGGCAAGTAGGGAGGAAAAAGTGAATCAGAAGATGTAGTGACGTTGCCATCGGAATAGGAAGGTCTTCTAAGACCTCTTGCTTTCTGTGCACTTTCTAGCTCTTTGCCGAAGGTTCTGGCCCTAGGTAAGGCTGGATTAGACAATCGGAGTTACGTTTTCAAAGGTCATCATCTCCTCTCTCAGGGCTCTCAGTGGCCTTCTGGTTTAGCTGAGAGCAGAGTTGCCTTCTCACCACATAAAAATCGAGTACGTCTCTCCAGACCTCCTCCTCTTCTGCCCCTGACTCGGTGTTTTGATCTTGTGTCCCATTCTCTCCTGGCTCTTCTGGGTGACAGAAGATACGAAATAAGAAAGACTATCAGAAAGTTGGCATAGGCATAAGAGCAAGCATGGATCTGGAAATTTTTCCAAATAGAAGGTTTAAGTCCCAGAAATGCCACGTATTAGCAGAAGGATCTTGGGCAAGTCGTGTAACCCCCCTAGACCCAGTTTTATCATCTGTGAAGTAAAGATAATAACATCTACCTCATAAGGATGTTTGAAAAGGAGGAAGTAACACATGGAAGGTACTTAATGTAGTGTCTCACATGTGACAGGCATTTAGCATATGGCAGGCACTGAGGAAGTGTTAACATCCTCATCCTCTCATCCTCTTGTACACATGGTGAATGGTACACATCATATATTCAAATTGAAGTTAGGGTAATGAATTCATCCAGCCTCAGCTAGTACATACTGCATTTTAACAGGGGCCTTGGCCAGCGCCCAAGCATATGAGTTATGTGGTCTGGTCAGATGGGGGCTGATGGAAGGAGAACTTGCACGACTTTTCTCATCATATAACATAAGAGGCTTCTAATTCTGCATTATCCAAGCCCTGCTATTTGTAACCAGTAATACATGTTCTAAGCCTATCATTTATAAAGCGCTTCCTCTGTGCCAAGCACCATGAAATGGATTACCACATTTAATACTTACATTAGCCTTTCATCCCCCTTTTTACAGAGGAGGAAGCTGAGACTCAGAGATGCAGAGCAACCTGTCTGGGATCACAGTGCTAACACATAGCTGCAGTTGGGGCTGAATCTGCCAGACTCCCAGGGCTGTGCTAACCCTGCTCTGTTCTGACCCAACAGCCCCAGCACCACCGGAGTCTCAGAAACACACATTGTTCCAGTTTCTGAGATTAGGCGATATGCAAATTGAGGTGAGGGGTTCTTTATGAACACTTCAGTAGAATAGAAGTAGACAAAATACACATAGAAATGGATGGAGCATCTGATGTGTGCCAGGCACTATAAAAACTGCGGGAACCAGAGAGATGAAAAGATGTGGTCCCTGCCTTCAGGAGCTCACAGGCCAGGGAGGGCCCAAGGTGAAAATAAAATCATGACACAGTATAGATGCCAAATGAGAGGAATGCAGATGATACGAGCACAGAGGAGGAGCACAAAGCGAACTGTTAGGAGCAGCTTTTTGGAAGAGGTGAAGGCTTAGCTGAGCTTTGAAGCAAAGGAAGGTTATTGCCAACAAACGGTAGAGCTTGTGACAATCCTTGAAAGCTAGACAGCGAGCAAGGCCAGTCGGGGACTGCAGGAGACGAGGCACGTAGAGGAGACCCGTGGGGTCTGGATTATCACACGTTCTCACCCTCATTCTGTGGGAGTTGTTCTTTCTACTGAAATTGCTGGGAGGCCACAGAGGGAAGTTGCCAGATATTTTTAAGGCACATGAAGAAACACGAGGAACAATCAGATATCCTCAGTAGCTTCCTTTCCCTTAATTATTTCAGGGGGAAAAATGCTTTTTGGATGCGGCGAAGGACCCTTCTCTGGTACGATTTGGGTTTCTGTGCGGATGCTCTGCCTTTTGTATGCTATTGAGAGATGTGTGAAAGGCATCCGCCACAAGCCTCCTTCAATGGATTTCTGCACTTTGCTTGTTATAAATTGATTCAGGGACTTCATTATGATGTCGCTAAGATGAATGGGGCAGCAGTGTTTTGGCTTAACGCTGCCAGAAGGAGGGAAAACAAGTTTCTGTGGTGCCGCAGTTCAATCACGCTGCTTACAGAAGTGGGGCCATGAAAGGCTGGAGGAGTGTGTCTTTGATACTAGAAATACTGTAGCCCTGTTGCTGCTACACGCGAATGCTTAAATTAAAGGTTGGAGCCTGCTTTCAAGTATTGACTATCGAGCAGAAAGCACAGCCCACACTCATGCACTTACTCAGCCTTGTTAAAATAAAAATACACTCTCGGCTGAGCTCGTGTCACAGCCAGGGTAATTATTACATTAAAGATTGTTGTTTGAATTAGAGTTGCTGTAGCACACGTCGATTTAAAGATAGGCTTGGTAATTTAGTACATGTTAGTCAGGACTCATGCCCAAACTGTGAAGACGGATTCGTTGCCAGCTGCCCCCTCAGGTTGTTTTTGTATTCAAGGTAAACACTCGAAACTTGGCAAATCGATCCAGAATAGTGGTGATTTGACTGCCTTGCCACAGGGCCAGCGGCTTAACTCACTCAGCTCCCATCTCCGGCGGAGGATGAAAATGGCATCAACCTCATTGGATTATTTTTGAGGATTAAATGAGGTAATACATTTAAGGTGGTTGGCCCATCAGTAAGTGCTTCTTCGTAAATATAGTTTTGTTACCTATGTTATGTATGGATTTGTTTTTAAATGGTAGAACGGAGTATGACTAAAAAGCCCCTTTTTTTTTCTTGCTACCAATGGTAAAAGCAGGACGATCCAGTTGTCTGTAATAGCCATGTGTTTATTAAGCCCTGTGGGTTATACGCCCTACGTATTTTGTGGTTCACTATGCCCAGAGCATTTAAGTGTGTAGTAAAGTTGGGAAAGATTTTGCAAATAGGAGGGACGATGTCCATTTTCTGGTAGGTTTCTCATGGGATTCTTTCCCCACCGCACACATTTTCTGAGTGATTCTCCTGTCCTCACCCTTCGCTGACCATGTGAAATGCAGAGCTGCATCTTCAACAAATGAACCCACTTTAAAGCCACTCACTAGCCTGCTTTCTACACTTAAGCCTACTCAACTTTGCTATGTAATTTTAAGGCTCCCAAGTTCAAAGCATGGATATTGAGTAATGGATAAGGGTATACCTAGTATTTTTTCCATAGACTTGTAGAATCTCAAGCATGGAATTTAGATATCAGGCCCCTCTCTCCTCATCTGGGAGTGCTGAGATTTATGGGCTACTCCTATTTGCTCTGAAATATGTTCTGGTATGTTTAAGGGAAGGTATTATTCTGTTTACATAAATCACCCTCACACCTTGTACTTTTTCATAGATTATTACTTTTTTAATGAGGTAACAGAAATATGCTGAGGTCAATTTATGTGTTGGCATAACATTCTAAAAAGTGCATTTTGATAACTTCCCAGCAGGGAAGAAAATTGTCATCGTAGAAGGTGGCCGAGCTGAACACAACAGTCCCATAGCTAACAGTGCACATAGACTCTTAGACCTGTAAGAGACCTTAGCAGTCATCTGGTCCAGTCTGCTAACTTTATACTCAGGTAGTTGGGAGATTAAAGGCCATGTCCAGGATAAGTTAGTGACAGTGACTAAAATCAGGGACCCCTGATGCCTCTGCCAGAATCTTTCCATAGCACATGCTTCATCTGATAGTGCCACAGACAGCTCAGTTGTAATATTATGATATCAAAAAGTGCTGTAGGCCGGGCGCGGTGGCTCAAGCCTGTTATCCCAGCACTTTGGGAGGCCGAGGCGGGTGGATCACGAGGTCAAGAGATCGAGACCATCCTGGTCAACATGGTGAAACCCCGTCTCTACTAAAAATACAAAAAATTAGCTGGGCATGGTGGCGCGTGCCTGTAATCCCAGCTACTCAGGAGGCTGAGGCAGGAGAATTGCCTGAACCCGGGAGGCGGAGGTTGCGGTGAGCCGAGATCGCGCCATTGCACTCCAGCCTGGGTAACAAGAGCGAAACTCCGTCTCAAAAAAAAAAAAAAAAAGTGCTGTAAGTGATGTACTAGGCCTCTTTAGCTCTTTTAAAAACTAAGGCTATTAGTTTCTATCAAAAAGTTTAATTGGCCTGCACAATTATTTGTGTTTTCATGGAAAAGGAAAAAAACTAATTCTAGTTAAGAGTAACAGCACACGGTAAGACCCATATGCACTAGAGCTTTCATTTAGTCTTTAAAGGCACCAAAAAACACAGGAAACCACTTCAAATATACCAGTACGATGAATTCAAACTGTGTCAGGGACAGCAACAAAACGGTGTCCCTTCATGCTGAGTATTGTGAAAATGTATCCTTGTTGTTTGCTGCGGTCTCCTGTGGGAGGCCCATCAAAATTACTACACCCCCCGGGAAAAAAAATAGCAAGAACAGTAAATAACAGGCTTCAGATAATACAGATGGGTAAACATTTCCAGAATTGATTATAGAAACTACTGTTGACAAGCCTCTAGCAGGTAAAATGAGGAGAGAGGGAAAAAAAAGAACTTTTATCTGCCATTCCACACTGGGCATACAAGGCAGGATACAGACAGGACGAAATAAATGATTAATATGGTAATGTACTCCATGGCACGTGTGGGATCATGAGAGAGGCCTGAGAGTTATGTGGTCCAAGCCACTCCTGTTACTCCAGAGAAAACAGAAACTCGGAAAGGTTAAGTGGCTGGCCCAGCATCACACACTTAGCAGCAAAGCCAATTTTGGAACCCTGGCCTCTCGACTCTCAGTCTAGTGCTCCAGCTGCTGTACTGTGACCCTCTAATTGAATCTATAATGGCACCTGTGTCAGGGGCACAAGTTGAGGCTCATGGAAATTTATCCAAATGAATAGCTGTTTTAAAATTATCATTAAAACTGTCCATGGGCCACGCATAGTAGCTCATACCTGTAATCCCAGCACTTTTTGGGTGGGCAGATTTCCTGAGCCCAGGAGTTCAAGACCATCCTGGGCAACATGGTGAAACACTGTCTCTACAACAAATAAAAGAATAATAATAACCGGGTGTGGTGGCACGCACCTACAGCTCCAGCTACTCAGAAGACTGAGGGAGGAGGATAACCTAAGCTTGGGGAAGTCAAGTCTGCAGTGAGCTGTGATCACACCAGTACACTCCAGCCTAGGAGACAGAGCAAGACCCCGTCTCAAAAACAAACACCCCACCCCACACACACACAAACACAAATACTGTCCATGGTTTTAAGCATTCTCCAAAAGACAAAAGCTTGTTAATATGGTACCATATAAAATCTCAGTTTATCTTCACATCCAGAAAGGAAGGCATTTTTCGTGCACATTTAGTTAACAAGTATTTATGAAGTGCCCGTGCTGTGTTTGTGTTACTGACAGCCCATGATCGGCTATTTTCTCTCTTGTCTCTTGGTCAAATAAGCAGGGGGATCGTTGGATCTGTCCCCTTCACCTCCCTTCTGCCTAAGGATCTCATGCTCACATTGTCTTCCTTTTCTCTAGTCTTTCCTATCCTTTTAATCTGATCTTTAAATGTCAGTCTCTGTTCTCATCTCCCTTTTTAACGAGTGTGGGTTTCTCGTGTTTATCTTGCTCTCCTTTTGCTGACGTATTTGCATCACTTTAGCCACAGTTAATATCTGCTAAATCAAATCATATTGGCTTGAATCGCTTCCATTGATTTGTGAATAAAAGAATGCTTCAGCTGCCTGGCCCTGCTCTCTGTACGTTCTTTGTCACCAGTAGGTTTAACTTACTCAAAACCTTCCTTGTCTGCATCCCTGTTTTACCACTGCGTTATTCATCCTTCCCCGTTCAAGCCAATTGACCCTTTTCAGCTGTCCTCACTTTAAGGGGTTGACTGCTGTTTCACTTTCTCATTATTCGGTGAATGAGGAGACTAATTGTCATTTTGCTTTGCTGTTGCCCTGTTTCCCCTTTCAACCAACCCCCTTCTGCCCAATTATCGTGAGGACCAAAATCACTGTTGTCATTAGCTAGCCTGTATTGAGCATCTACTACATATTCACTAAGCATCATTCGGAAGGCCTAAATTTTATAAAAATGAATCCTTCGGGTTTTTTTCTTTTTAAAGAGACAGGGTCTCACAGGCTGGGGTGCAGTGTTGCAGTCATAGCTCACTGTAACCTGGAACTCCTGGGCTCAAGTGATCCTTCAATCGCAGCCTCCCCAGTAGCTGGGACTATAGGCATATGACAGTACCCCCGGCTATTTTATCATTGTTATTTATTTTTTATAGAGATGGGTCTCTCTATGTTGCCTAGGCTGGTTTCGAACTCTTAGACTCAAGCAGTCCTCCCACCTCAGCGGTTTCTTTTGAGGAGTGCAAAATGAACAAGCCACTTTCGTTGATTAATTTTATTCAACCAATTTCCTATATATAATACCTCTTACCACAGAGAAATGATTAGATTGTAAATGCCAGAAGGTAGAGGTGTGAAAAGACACTAACCACAAAAAGGCCTTTTGTAACTTGTATTGTCGGCATATTTTACACTCCAGAAAATGCCATCATCTTGAGATTTTTTTTTTTTAGTGCAGAACCATCTAAGCTGAATATCCATATGAAAAATAACAAAACTATTCAATCAACTTTTACCTACTTCTTCATTTTGTCATTCAACAACTCCCTGTTCCTTCCTTGCAAAGCAACTAATCTTTTCAACTTATACTAGGAAAAACATACAGAACCATCCTGACAGTTTGATGGTGTATCAACAATGCTTAGATTCAAGATAAATGTATATTACATGAAAAGTGAAAGAAGCTTGGGTGAGTGAGCTCGGGGTCAAGGGCCTTCCAGCCGAAGGACAGGAGGTCCCAGACCTTGGTCTGATGTATTCCAGGGTCTGTGCCAGGCCTGCTTCCTGCCCCCCAGGTGTAACCAGCAGCAAGTCCTGCTCCTCCCAGTGAGATCTAGACTAGACTACCCCTGTGCCTTGTCGAAGAGAAGAGGCTCCTTCCTTCCTCAGAAGCATTCTGACACCACGCTGTGCCAGGGTATGTGAACAGGGAGGTTTGGGTCTTGAGAGTGGATCATGCAAATTCCTTTCTTCTTTCCCTTAACTACATCAGCATTAGAGAAGAGAGAAAGAGAAGCCTTCACTGCCATGCTGCCTTGTGGAGGTGCCGAAGGTTCTCCCAGGTAGGAGAGGACTTGGGGCTGCTGTTGGCATCCCTACGTCAGCATGCCTGGCTATTCCACCTTTCTGTGGGTGAGGCAACCTTTCTGCCAGTAGGGAGGTGCACAGGGGCAGAGGTAACAGCAGGAGACATGAGCATTTGTCCTATCTGTTTTCTAGCAGAGCACCACTCTCCTTTCCAGAGAAAATAATCCTGGAAACCATTCTCTCCATAAAACTGTTGTTCTCAACTGGGGGCAATTTTGACCACCAGGGAGCATTTGTCAATGTCTAGAGAGAGGGTTGATTAATACAATTAGAGAGTGCTATTAGCATCTTGTGGGTAGAGGCCAGGGATGCTGCTAAATATTCTACAATGTTCGTGACAGCCCCCACAACAGAGAATTCTCTCACCGAAGACGTCAGTAGTGCCAAGGCTGAGAAACTTGGCTACAGAGCATGCATTCTCCTTGCTCTTCATCGTAGGCCCTTTACATCTGACATCTTCATTTTCATTTTCAACCCAAATGCATTTTATTTAACGCCATATAATTTCAATGTTAAGTAAAGGAATAAATGGGAAACTTTATTGGCATGAGAAGGAAAAAAGGGGGAAAGGAATGCAGTACCAAAAACCCTGGAGATAAGCAGTATATATGAACTTATACAATGGTAGAATTATTCTTGCTAATAAAAGAGGGTGTTGGCTGGGCACAGTGGCTCACACCTGTAATCCCAACACTTTGGGGAGGCCAAGGCAGGCAGATCCCTTAAGGCCAGGAGTTCAAGACCAACCTGGCTAACATGGTGAAATCCTGTCTCTACTAAAAAAACAAAAATTAGTTGGGTATGGTGATGCTTGCCTGTAGTCCCAGCTATTCTGGAAGTTGAGGTGAGAGAATCACATGAACCTGGGAGATGGAGGTTGCAGTGAGCCAAGATGGCACTACCACACTCCAGCCTGGGTGATAGACCAAGACTCAGTCTCAGAAAAAAAATAAAAATAAAAGAGGGTATCTCTCTAAAAGAAAAGGTATAAACCCAACTATTTAGTGCCCCTAGGTAGGTGGTGTGAGTGTGGCAGAAAGAGGAGGCACTTGGAGCGCCGGACAGCACATATGCTCTGGAGAGGGAGCACCGCCCTTGGCTCTGTCGCTGTTTGGAATAACTGGTCTGTCATGACCAGGTCTTTGATTTTTTTTAAGAGATTCTATAAATCTGAACATGAATGTGAAATTCCCTGGTTATTAATGACTAGAAAGAAATTTTAAAAACTTATCTGTATTAGTATCTTTATCATTATTGAGATTGCGTGGTTGAACATTGGACAGTTGGGCTCTAACACGTAATCTAAACAGGTTCCCTTCTGTTCTGAAAGCTTAAGGCACCTAGAAAATAAGTCCAAACTCCTTAACAGAGTGTTCAAGGCCCTTTGGGATTAGGTCTCGCCAACCTAGCTACTCACTTTCCATCCTCACATGGAGCCACGTGCTCCTCTCTACCCTGCCTCTGAGACACAGTGAGCCTCTGAACACATCAGGCACGTTCACGCTGGGACCTCTGCTTGGCTTTTCTTCACTCACGTCACAACTTTCACTGCCTAGGGAAATGTGATATTCATTCTTGTGGCCCAAATGAAATGACAGATGATCTTCCTGAATTCCCTAAAAAAAGTCTGGTTTGGTATATTCTGTTATTATGATCTTTATAAGTTGCTATCATGTATTCATCTAGTCATCTCCCCAACCTCAAATAATATATAAGACTTGGAGGCTAGGAACCCAACTTCATTGCTCTC